CAATATCTATCTTGGATTAATTCACCAGCATTTATAAGCAAATATCTTTTAGCAGCTGTTCCTTCCTCAGCATTCAAACAATTTAAAGAGAGCATAATAGCATACAGTATCAAGATTATCTGTATATTCTCCATCTTTATGCGGCTTTATTTTAACCTCTATTTCTTTTATTTTTACTTTTACTTTTTGAGACAGGTTCTCTCTATATCTTTGTCCTGGAATCACTCTGTAGACCAGGCTGTCCTTGAACTCACAGAGATCCTTCTGTCTCTGCCTCCCCAGTGCTGGGCTCAAAAGTGTATGCTACCACACCTTGAACTCAGAGATCTGCCTGTCTCTGCCTCCCAGGCATTGGGTTTAAAGGTGTGTGCCACCACACCTTAAAGTCACATAGGTCAATCTACCTCTGCCCCTTGAAGTCACAGAGGTTAACATACCTCTGCCTCCCTGGCATTGGGATTAAAGGTGTGTACCACCACATCCTATTTCTCCCTTTCTTTCTTTTTTATTTTTAATGACTTTAACCTTTAGCCTGCATATATTTTTAACACACTGTAAACCATTTAGAGGTTTTCTTGTTCTCTGAATCTCTCTTTACTGTATATCTCTCTTTTTCTGACTATATGAGTCTTTAAGGAGAAAATTAAAGTCAAAGCTTTGACAGCTGGATCCAGCCCATTCCTTAGCTTTCCAGCCTCATGGCTGAGATACTAGCCAGAGCTTTGTTCACTGCCACAACTATATGGCGTTTCAAGGTCCCTGCCAGAAAGCAAGCTACAGCATTCTGCTCACAGACCACACTCAGTCGGACTGTCTGCCTGAAAGAGTCAGAGATTGCCCTGGCAGGACAGCCCAGAAAGCCAGCACTTTAAAATGGCACAGCTTTTTTCCTGCTATGGCTGAAAACCGAAAAGCGTGTGTTCAGTTTTTCCTCAACACCATTTAAGTGTTTTGTGGCAGGACCTCTTAAACAAGCTGCAGGGTTTTGCACCTAAAGCTGAGTCAGGAAGCCTCTCTTAGATGAGAGCGCTTGCTTGCCTCTAGCAAGCAGAGTAGACCCGAGAAATTGCTGCCACCATGAAAATATGCTTTACTCTATTCCTTCCCAAGCTTTCTCAAGCTTTCTGTGAATTTGGTTATCCACATCTGGGCGCCATATGTAACATGAGGGCCGGCTTGTTGGGGTATCTGTTTCTGCCTGGTACCCCACAACTGGCAAATCCCAAAGAAAAATCACACACAGGACTCCATAAGATTATAAACTTATTGGCCCTTAGCTCTGGCAGCCTATTTGCTCTTATAAAACATATTAGCCCATTATCCTTATCTACGTTAGCCACAAGGCTCAGTACCTTTTTCAACTGTCAGCTTACAGGTTCCCTCTTCGGTGGTCTGGGCAGGAATGGCAGAGGGAGCTTTCTGCTTCCTAGAATACTTCCAGTCTCTTTGTTCCACCTCTACTTCCTGTCTGACTTTCCTGCCTATACTGCCTGCCTGGTCAATCAGCATTTTATTAAAATATGATTGACAATTATCCCACATCAGCATTTGTGCTGTTTATGTTAATAAAATTGAATTACATAGAGATAACACGTAGATACAATACTGCTTATTAAAATATACAAGTTAAAAATACAGATGCTGTATATAATAATGTATATTAAAAACCTGGTGGGAAGTCATTCTGTCTATGTGTTGTTTGTATTGATTAATGAAAAAATCTGTTTCATCCAGTGGCTTAGCAGAATAGGGTAAGACAGGAGTTCCAAGCATAAAAAAGAAGAAAAAAGAAGGCAGAGTTACGGAAAAGCCATGTTACCACTGTTGGGGACAGATGCACCAGAACCATACTGGTAAGCTACAGCCACAGGGTGATACACAGATGAATAGAAATTGGTTAATTTAAGATATGAGAGTAAGCCAGAAAGATGCTCAAGCTATCATCCAAACAGTAATGCAAATATAGTTTCTGTGTGTTTATTACTGGACTGGGTGGGACAGAAACCTCCAACAACAAACTGGAGTCTCTAACTACTGATTTTCTTATTGTGCACTCATGTACATTGAAAAAAATAAATACAGGGTATCACATTTTAGCCTGGGTTAACTAACTTAAACTTGCTATGTAGACAACTTGGTCTTGATCTTCTGATCTTCCAGTCTCTACCTCTGGAGTGCAGGTATTACAGCCACCAACAGGCCCTGTCCTGCAGTGTAGATTATCCAGCCTAGGGCTTTGTGAGTACATGGAAAGTACTCTCTCAACTGACCTACATAGCCAAACAAAAGTATCATATCATACTATTTTTGACTTAATAACTGACAACATTACACATGTATATAATGCATTCTGGTTAATGTCCCCAATTCTCTTATTTCCCTCCCACCATTGTCAATCTCATGTCTTCCATGAAAATCTCTTTCCCATATGCTTAACGTCCTTGGTGTCCTGCAAATTAGAACTAGAGCCAACTGTGTGACTGTGTTGTTAGACCTCTCCACTATAGCCTGTGGACTCACCACCCACCAATGGACTAATACACAAATGAATGGAATTCTTAGGTGTCATTAGTTCAGCAGGAAGTGGTAATGTCTGTCTCTTTGTCATAATGACCACTGTCATTGAGTGTCAGGTATTATATTTTGGTGGATAGAATGAGTAGAAGTGTTTGGTTATTGTTCTTGTATTTTTCCCCGAGACAGGGTCTCATGTGCCCCAGGGTGGGACCAAATTCTCTAGGAAGTTTTGAATATCCTCTTTCAATCTCTTATCACCCTGCCTCTACTCCCTGAGTCCTGGGATTACAGAAGTGCACACCAATTACATGGTGCTGGGGTTGGAGCCAGGGCTTTGTGACTGTTGAGCTCTCACTCTCCCAACTGACTCTTATTACTACTCCTCAATTTTCCTTTTTTCACAAACAAACAAGCATCAGTGGTCTTAAATAAAGACAAAAACTTTGTATAATATATCAGCTTTCATGGCATGCATAATTCACACTACATGATTTATCCATTCACAGTGTAATTTTCAATGGTTTTAATATGGTTCTACAAAAACTACACAGTCAGTGACTTTAAGAACATTTTCATTACTCAAAAAGAGCTCCAGGAACATTTCCTAGGAGTTAACAAGAGGATTTCCCTCCATTGTAGGAGGACCACTTGTTTGTTTCCTGGCCACCTGATACTCAGACCCAAAATAAACACACAGAAACTGTAATAATTAAATCACAGCTTGGCCTATAATGTCTAACTTCTTACTGGCTACCTTTTACATCTTAATTTAACTCATGTCCATTATTTTATATTTTACCATGAATCTTGTGGCAAGGATTCAGCATGTCTGTCTCCATATGTGACTCCATGGCTTCTCCTTTCTCTGCCTTCTTCTTCCCAGCATTCAATTTAGTTTTTCTTGCCTAATTAATTTCTGCCCTGATATAGGTCCAAAGTATTTTCTTTATTTATTAATGGTAATCACATCATCCAGAGGGGAACCCCACATCACCCCCTACACACAAACCCTTCCTTCTTTATATATAGGCTTTTTCTTTACTGACCCATAGCTGTTAGGGCCACCTGCAGGCTTGAGTCTTATTTCCTTCTTTTGTAATGCATAATGTCATTAAATTGTATAAAGCATCTCATCCCCTGGAACATATTAGAGCCAGCCACCTCTCCTGACTAAATTTGAAAGGTCTGAATAACCACTATACAACACTCAATTACATAGTAGTGCAGACTGCCGAGAATATTCTCACAGTATCATAAGTTGGGTGAACAGGAAGACACTTAGTTATGGGCTAGAAGGAAGGAGATGCATGTATGAGAGTCATACCTTCGATGAAGTGACTTTATTTGTTAGGGAATGAGGTAAGAACAGATTCTAACAGGTTGCTATTGTTTTGCTGAGTTGACTTGTCAAAAATGACAAAATATCTTTTAGAGAGGGACAAAGACATTCCGTAAAGATCTCCATGCAGATGGCAAAATGTTGGCTTTATTTCAAGTATTTTTGAATGAAGACAGTCTTGGTGAGAGGGCATTTCATGTCAATGAATTTGTTTAATTTTTGGTGAAAAGTAAGAACCTTTGGTCTTTCTAAAATGACAACATCGTTTATTGATTCTTCCCAGAATATTAACTCACAGAACATCAAAATAGGCAGTGCATGTACTTTATAATCTGTCAAGGCTAAGAGAATACCAAATTCCAGGTGATGCAGATGTGAGCCATCTACTGGCTAGGGCCCTGGCTCACCCATCCTTCTAGGGTATAAATACCACAGGCTGGGAACACTTCAGCACAAGTGTGCAGAAGTCAAGCCCTGGAAAGGGTAGCACACACAACTGCAGGGGGAACACAGAGGGGTACATTGTTGACAGACAAGTAACGATGGACCGGACTTCAGCTCTCTCACTGGAAACCTGGGTGCTCCTGGCAATCAGTTTGATGCTCTTATACCTGTGAGTAATCAACAAAATCTGTCTCCCACTTTGTCTTTGGTATAGGGTTATATTCAGACATTCATTCTGGTATTGACTAGAAGGTCTAACTGACATAGGAATCAGGACTAGAAGGTATGGCTCAGTGGTTAAGAACACAGACTGATATTCTAGAGGACGTATTTTTGTATCCTGCCTTCCACATGTGGCTTACAATCATCTACAACTACAGTTCCAGGATCCAGGGATCCAGGGATCCAGGGATCTCATGCCCTCCACAGGTACTGGAAAACAATATTAAAAAATAATAGCAGAAGTTGAAACAAACTCTTGTAAAAATACTTTGAATTTACATGTTCTTATTTATTGGGGCTAGGGGCGGCATGTGAGAGAGAGTGTGTTGGGGGGTCAGAAGGCAACTTTGGGAAGTCAGTTCTTTCCTATCGTGTGAATCTTGCAGGTGAAACTCAGATTATGATCATTGGTAGCCAGTACCTATATGGTGCAGGCAGCTTGAAGGACAGAAGTGAAGTGACAAATGAGTTCATTGTGCATTTTTATTTTTGGTGGAATGATAGTCATATGAGAGCCTATATGTGCTAGGCATACACTGTACTACAGAGCTATATTCCCAGTGATACTCACTCTTAAAGATAATATTGACATTATACACATCTGCTAGAGACATTGTCAACTGTGTCTTGTTGTGGTCTGGAGGGTTACTGACAATATTTACTCTTCGTATCATTCGATTTGTTGCAAGGAATCACTTGGTTCCCAGGTGCTCAGCCCTAAAATATTAACACAGAAAATGTATTGATGAAATCTCAGTTTGGCCCCTTAGCTCTAACTTCTTATTGGTTAACTCTTACTTATTAGTTTGACTCATTTCTAGTAATCTGTATATCACAAAAAAGCTGTGGCTTACCAGCTAAAATTCCCAGCGTCTGTCTCCTGAGGCTCCATGGCTTTTCCTGTCTCTGTCATTCTTTCTCCCAGCATTTGGTTTAGTCTTCCCCTTCTACCTAAGTTTTACCCTATTAGGCCAAGACAGTTTCTTTATTCATTAACTAATAAAAGCAACACATAGATAGAAGGACCTCCTACATCATTTATGCTTAAAGAAAATGAAGGCTTTAACTTTAACATAGTAAAATTACATATAAAAAAACAGTTATGAAGCAAGAAGTACAGTTACAATATTTATATCTACTATATCTTTTATTATAACAAAAGGAAAACTATATCTATTCTTCAACTCTATAAAGGACTCTAGAAGGGTATGATATTACATAAATAAAGAGAAGGTACATTGTAAGCAACTTCGAAAACTCTAGAATTGACAGAGACATGTTGCTGCCTGGACAGTCACCCAAACTTCTGTACCATTGGGGCATCCATCTTCAGCCTACAGGCCCATAGTATTCAACAGACTTTTCCATAAAACAGGAAACTTCAAAGAGAGTTCCACCTATATTGGCAGTTTGTCAGTCACTTTTTTCTGTGTCCTGCAGAATGTCTAGGAGATCCTTTCAAGAAGCAAGAACCCCAAAGGACTGTCTCACCTTTAGGCAGGTTCAGCAGTCATTTCACTGTTTGTTCTGCATGTCCAGTTAAGCAGTCCAGGCAAGAGCAGTATCTTGCTGAAATGACTAGCAAACTTTATAAGGAGCCTCTTCAATGTCCATCTTTCTCTTGAGGTAGACTGGTGCTGCCAGAAACAGTTGAATTCCATTGCAATAAAAATTAGTAAATTCTTAAACATTTTAAATGCCATTTTCTGTAGTCCTTGAAAGGTTTGAAGAATGCCTATCGATCTAAAATACATATCTGTCCATCTAGAAAGTCTAACTAATATGCCTATATGCTTGACTATTATAGATGATTATCTATTAACCTATATTTTATAAATATACATTATATTTTAAAATGAGCTACAAAAGCACAATACCTTAATCAAGAACAGAAATACATATGCACAGTATAACAAAATTGACTTTAAATTTGTATCAATACAGCAAGATACATACCAATTCAAATCTCTATAGCATATCTCTCTTTAAATGTAAACAAACATTTATAAACAATGTGGGGGAATGTGGGCATAGTTTTGACTATGCTTCTTCCTGCTGATTGGGGGCACTGTTAATCAGGCCCTTGTGGGGGCCAATTTGTTGCAAGTAATCACTTGTTGGTTCCCAGCTGCTCAACCTTGAAATAATCACACAGAAACTGTATTAATTAAATCACTGCTCATTTAGCCCATTAAATTTAGCCCATTAGCTAAAACTTCTTTTTGCCTAATGTTTATATCTTAGTTTAACTCATTTTTAGTAATTTGTGTATCACAATGAAGCTGTGTCTTACTGGCTAAAATTCCCAGTGTCTGTTTCTAGAGGCGCCATGGCTTCTCCTGACTCTGCCCTTCCTTCTCCCATCATTTGGTTTAGTATTCCCTGGCTACCTAAGTTCTACCTGATCAGACCAAAGCCTTTTCTTTATTTATTAGCCAATAAAAGCAACACATAGATAGAAGGACCTTCCACACCAATGATTGATTTTCAGGTTCTTGTTAAATCCACCAGAACTCAGTAGAAACAGAAAGAAACTACGGGCTGCAAAGCACACTGAACCCCTCACCCTTTTCATAAGGTCTCTAGGAAATGGAGAGGCAGCTAAGTTGTTGGTTTGTTTCCTGATTAAGTTTTGGTCATGTTTATCTCTTCTCTTCTGTATGTGTGATGACAAGTCTTTCTATTTTACTTTATAGATTTGGGACTAAAAAACATGACATTTTTAAGAAACAGGGAATTCCTGGACCCAAACCTCTACCAATTTTAGGGACTCTGCTGAATTATTACAAGGTAAATGCTGATACCTGATAGTCTATAATAGTTTAGTGCTCCTTGGAAGGAACCTCTGAGATTCCATGTCCTCATACTATGTGTTCTGATGAGGCTACAGAATGTCCAGTGATTCCTCAGGAATCTATTGCCAACTTAAAACTATAAAATCTCTCTCTCTCTCTCTCTCTCTCTCTCTCTCTCTCTCTCTCTCTCTGTGTGTGTGTGTGTGTGTGTGTGTTGAACTATGTATTTATGTATTTGCATGTACATGAGTGCCATTAACATGCAGGTACATGTAGATGGATATGCATCTGCATGTAGAAGCCAGAGGTTGGTATTTTTGATCTTTCATACTTTGAGGCAGGGTCTCTCACTTGAACTTAGTTCTCTCTGAATTGACTAGTTTAGCTGGCCAGTTCACTCCAGGGATACCTTGACTCTGCTTCTTAAAAGTAGGGATACTGGGGTCTGTAGGAGGAGGCTGCTACTTAGTTCCCAGAACCTGGCTAGCTTAGGCCCGAAATGATCACACAGAAACTGTCTTAATTAAATCACTGCTTGTACCATTAGTTCTAGCTTCTTTTTGGCTAACTTTATACTAATTTAAACCATGCCTATTAATCTGTGCATCATCACGAGGTCGTGGCCTACTAGCAAAATTTCAGCATGTCTGTCTCCAGCGCCTCCATGGTTTCTATCTAATTCTGTCCTTCTTTTTCCCAACATTCCATTTAGTCTTCCTCGCCTACCTAAGTTCTGCCCTATCAACAGGCCAAGGCAGATTCTTTAATCATTAATGGTAATCACATCAAACAGAGAGAAATCCCATCAGGAGTTCTTTAACTTCTTACTGTTATTTACACAGATACTGGGGAACCAAACTCTGTTTTTTTATGGTGTGTTCTTCCCACTTAACCATCTCCACAGCTACTATAATCAATTTCCTCCCATGTTTATTAATTTTACAGTGAGTGTGTATGTGCCACATGCACTTGTAGGTTGAAGGACAATTTGTGAGAGTTAGTTTTCTCTTTCAACCATATGATTCCTAGAGCTGAAACTCAAGTTGTCAGAGTTGGTGACAAGTATGTTTTTATTAGGAACCATCTCACTGGTTCTGATGTCAGTTTATTGAGCATCAAGCTTGCATTAGGTAAAATGTACAGATCTCAAGCCCATTTAAGCTTGATATTCAGGACATGTTGCTCAGACTTTGTGAACAAAAGAAAGTTTGTTTCTTACCCAGTGCAGATTCCAGGGAGGCATTTCTGTACTTATTTGAAGAAAATTTTAGGGGTTTTTAAGCTTCTAGGACAACAATCCATATTCACTAGATTAAAATTCTGTTTTTTGTATCTGGTTCATGAGCAACATTTTCTCCTTTTGCTGAATATTTCTGAAGAATCAACACAACACAGACCCACATACACATCTTTGGGGGACTTTTCATATACTTGAGTTCTTTGCATAATTATTATACCTTGAATGTATATCTATAGATCTAACCTCACCATAGTAAGATCTTAATGACATGATGGAGTTTCCTGAGAATTAGCATTTTGCTTTTGTCCCTACCTATAGGAACTTGTGTTCAGATTAGTAATTGTTTCTTTTAGAAATATTTTATTTGTATCTGTGAGTGAGATTATGTTCATAAGTGAAGTATATACAGAGGCTTAAATAGGACACTGGATTTGTTGGTGCCAGAGTTACAGATGATTATAAGTTGGTGAGTGTGGAATTTGTGTTCAGAAATTGTACCCTTGGGAAGATCAACAACTGCTGTTAACTTATTAGTCACATCTCCAGCCCTACTGACAGATTTTCTATTGTGTTTTGTTTCTTTGGTGTTGAAAATGGGATCCAGGAAATTGACATGACAGGGGCAAGTGCTCCAACACTAAAATGTACCTGCAGCTGCTTCAGCAGCCTGTGCATGAGTGTGAGCAGCCAGTGTGAAAACATTAAGACAAGATGATGGCTGTAAGTCCCCTCATACATTGCATTACACAATGTGCTTTGTATTTGCATTTAAAAATATTAAAGGCAAAAGAACTGGGAAAAGGATGGTTTAGCAAAATAGATACTTCAGTAATAGGCATGTCATTTTATGTCTTGTTTGATCATTTGTAACAAACCTGATTTGATACCTGACCCATGGTCAATCCACAGCAGACCTTTCCAAGTTCACATCAGGAAAGCGAGTGGCAAAGCTTACTCTGCCGTCTGCTAAGATTTTTCTTCCCAAATTTTCTATGCTTAACTACCACATTCATTAAAACAATTTATTATTGTTATTGTTATTATTATTATTAAAATCATAACCATCATCATTGGGTGTGTGTGGTGTGTATCTGGTGCTGTGCATATGTGTATGTCTATGACTGTGCATGCAGAGACCACAGGAAGGGGTCATATGTCCTGCCCTATCACTCTGCCTTTTCCAACTGTGCCATTTTGCTGGTGACACTGCATGTAATTGAAGAACTTTTCTCTGTCAGAAATGGTATATTACATTTCACAGAATTTGATGGCTTGGATCCCTGGATACAGAAGGGTTATTGCATACAGGACAATGATGGATTACATGATATTTCTCTTTCCAGGGTGTATGGAAATTTGATGTCGAGTGCTACAAAAAGTATGGAAAAATATGGGGGTGAGTATTTCTGGAAAGTTCCATGAGTTGATTCTTTTTAAGAGGATGTACTCATTTGCACAAGAAAAAAGCAAGCTCAGAAACGTAGTATTGCACCTTTCTATTGTAATGGTGACACCATGTGTTGTTAATTGCTGTGGATTACAGGTCTAATTATTTTTAGAACATATTGTGGATTTTGGACAGGCTTTGAGGCTCCATGGACTCTGGGCATCCTGTAGAGGTTTTTTTATTATTTTAGTTTATTTATTTATTTTATAAGACCGGGTTATTCTGTAACAGTCTTGACTGTCCTGGGAGTCACATTGTAGACAAGATTGTTCTGAAAGTCATAGAGAACTATGTGCCTTTGCTTCTGAGTGCTGGGATTAAAGACATGGGCCACCAAAGCTAGCAAGGCCTTGTGTTTTATCCAGTACAGGCATATTATTTTTTTCTCTTCTGAAACTTCCTTTTCATTACATGAAATGCACTACTTTTTGTCCCTCTAATCTTCTCTGATAAATGTGTGATATCACCCATATCGGTGGAGGATATTGGGAGGATTTACTGAAGGAGGCATAGTC